GTCCTTAGCGTCCGGTGGGATCGCATTTTCATTTAAGCCATTTCTAATGAGTATCTCACTGGGGTTTTAAACGTGCATTTCTCTAATGGCCGGTAACGAATATCTCTCCGTGAGATCACCTGCCTCTTACGTGCCTTCTCTGCGGAAACGTCTGTGTGCGCCTTTGCCCGCTTTACGCTGGGCTTTTCTTGAACGTTGGGTTTCGAGATTTCTTTATACATCCGACGTGCTAGTCCTTCGTTGGGTGTGTGATTTATGAATGTTTTCTCCCAGCCTGTAATTTTTCCTTTCATCATAGCAGGATCTTTCACAGAGCAGAGTTTTTTAACTTTGCTGAGGTCTGATGTATCGGTCTTGCCTCATTTGGATCATGCTTTTGGTGTCAAGCCCGGGAACGTTTGGCCTAGTCCCACGTCCTAAAGGTTGTCGATATATATTTTTCCTGCTTCCTGTATAAAATCCACTATTTTGCCTTGATACGTTTTTGTTGCTCTTGGCCCTGTGACACGCTTTCTTTCAAAATGCTTTCCCTCCACCCGTGTCGCTCGCCGTGGAGGTCGGAGCCCCGTGTTGAACGCGTGACTGTCTCCTCTTGGGGCAGCAAGCGGGCCGGCTCTGCTGAGGCAGACGTCGCGATATCTGTGTTCATGGTGAGCGTGTGGGGAGCCCACGCTTTTTATTACAAGCAGTATGTATTTATTTATTTAAAATACGTCTTTATTGATTTCAGAGAGAGGGAGAGGGAGGGAGACAGAAGCGTCAATGATGAGAGAGCCTCCTGCACGGCCCCCCGGGGATCGAGCCCGCAACCCGGGCATGTGCCCCGACCGGGAATCAAGCCGTCACCTCCAGGTTCACGAGTCGACGCTCAAACGCTGGGCCATGCCGGCCGGGCTTCGCGGAGTGTTTGGAAAGGGCGCCTCCTACTCTTTTCCTTAAGATGAGATTTTGTCAAGGAAGAGAGTGGAGCTGAGGTGCCTGCTGCTGAGCCGTCTGCATGGGGCACAGGCCTCTCTTTCCTAAAGACCTCCCCGACGCCCCCTTCAGCGCCCACCGCGGCGCGCCTCGGAGCTGTAAGAAGTGCAGGCGCTTATGCCGTCAGCGTTCTTGGTGAGAATGAAAAAAATCCCCTGCCTTTTAAGGGTTCGAGTAGGTCTGTTGGGAGAAGCTTATAACTTGAAGGGCGGTGATTCTTTGATGTCAGAATTGTGTGTCTTTCTCTCATCTTTATGAAAAACGGTGGAGGGGTGGGCCCCTTCTCTGTTTGTAAGGTCTGCATTGGAGCCTTCCTCTTCGTTCCTTTCAGCCTCTCCTTTGCTCTCTCGTTTGTGTTCGTAAGTGTCTGAGCCAAGAGTCTTACTGGTGCGGAGTGCAGGCGGAGGCGCAGATACGCCCGGCCGGGGAGAGGGCTTTTGCTTAGCCCCCCGCTGACTTCGTGTGTGACTTAAGGTTCACGAGCGTGAGCATGCCATTGCCGTTCGTGGTCTGAACGCCCCGCGGTGCTCCTCATCAATAGAGCCACTCACTGCATGACAGAAACCCCACCCGGAGCTTCCCAGATTCGTTCGCCGATCCGCTCCGGGTGGACTAGGTGACCCTTCGGTTTCTCTCGGCTCTGAGAACCTGTGGCACCTTCTGTCGTCGGACCTCTTTCTCCTTTCTTAACAGGATCTGAAACACCTAAAATAATTTACAGGATGCCAGGAGGTGTGGTTAAGTCGAGGAGGAAGGAATCCATTCACGCCGGGTCTCTTCCGTCCTATAAATAAACCGGCACACTTCCAGGGCAGCCCGGTCCCTTTGAGATCTGTCCGTGGTCCAGGCTCTGAAAGCAGACCTCCCTGCGACGTGCCGAGGGTGGTGGTTTCATTTCCTTAGGCAGGGAGACTTATTTTGACAATATCCCATCTTACTTTTTAGTACAGCAAGAGATTTTTTGTTGAGCAGAGCTGTGCAAATTTGAGAAAGTGGGTTTTGATAGCCCCGGCGCGACTCTTCAAAAATGTGTTATTTACTGTTTTTAAGTATCAGTGGTAAGCCTCCCAGTTTTTTGAAAGAAGCCTTTCTGTGGACATACAGCTCTCCGTGCTGTTAAAAAGCAGGCTGTGCGCGCGGAGAGGAGACTAGCCGATGGCGTCCTGTTTCTCAAGGCTCACCACCCTCCTCTCCCAAAGCCGAGTTCTGTGCAGGCGAGTTGCATCCAGCAGGGATCTGAAGGTAAACGTCAGAGATGCTCTGAATCGATGGTGGTGGGTCCATGTACCGTGTTTCACGGTAATACCCTTTCAGAGAGCACACGACACGGACCGGCGGGGGTGGTTGCAGAAAACTGGACTCCGGGGAGGTTACGCGGTTCCCTTGCTCCACTCGGTGACTCGACGGAGGAGAGGCCTGCTCCCGGCCACGCCTGTGGCCTCCCGCGCTGCGTACAGTCCGAGCGGAGCCACGCGTCCTCCCACGTGTCCTCCTGGAGGCTGCGATTTGTGCGAGTGTTACTTGTGATTCACCAGTCGGTGTTTATACACACTGACTTATCTTCGTCCTGTGTTCTGGGTCTTTCATGTGGAGCTCCTGAGCCGCTAAAAACGTAAAACCCAAACCCAAACAAAGAATCTTGTTATCCAGGCGAGTGTCTCTCTCTCCCTTTTATAAAAATACTTTGTGATAAAAACACAAACACATATGAATAGTAACTGAAAGAGCGTTGCTTCCTTTCAGAAAACCGCTAGGATTTGCATAAACCACTCGGCTGTCTGGTGAGCGGCGATCTGCTCTGTCAGTCCCCGGGGACTTTCAGGGTCAGGTTATTAGGGTTCTCACAGGCAGGGAGAGTTCTGCATTTGAAGGTGCTTCCAGTGTGTCATCCTGCGAAACTGGGTTTTCTTAAAGAAGTCAATGAAGACGTCACCTCTTCTGTATTGTGACCATCACATGAAGAAAATTAAAGGTCTTGAAGGATTTTGAATGTGTGCCGGGTGCAGTCTGTTAATTATTTGCCTCAGTAAAGCTGACGTGTGTTGAGGCTAAATACTCAAACTATTCCAGCTTGAGAATTAGGAGGGATGTTTAAAGGAATTTCTTTTTTTAATTTTAATTTTTTAATTTATCTTTATTGTTCATTGATTAATCTCTCCCCCACTCCCTCCCCCACCCCCGCCTTCCCTCTGAGATTCATCAGTCTGTCCCATTGCCACTTCAAGGAGATACTCAGCGATGCGAACCACAGGCCACGGCTGCTCTGCGGCATTTGCTCGCCGAAGTAGATTACCCGAGATGGTCTGAGGAGGACTGATATAGTACGGTGCTAGGATTTTGTTGGGGTCCAGTTCTGGAAAATCAGATTGACCTTGACGTTCTTGAAATTAAGTACAGTACATGTCCTACAGATATTGAAATAATAGCCACCTTGGAATTTATCATTATTTTTTTATGCAGCAACTCCATACATAACTGATTAAACTTTGGATTGCTGAAGCTCGGCAATGTTACAGGTACATTGGCACAAGCCTTAACTAATGCTTTTTCCTATATCTAATTCATAGCTACAACTAGTTGGAAACAGTATCTTTCATTTTGAGTTGGCCCAGAGCTACACTTTTTTTTCCACCCCGTCTTTTGCAACACTGTGTTTTACCTGGGATTGTAATGCAGGAGGAATCGTCTTGATTTATCTGAAGGTAACAGCAGCGCCTTCAGACTCAGAGGAGTGACCATCAAAAGTGGTCTCTGTGTGGGCGACGGACAAAATGCTGAGACGGAGCCATTGTCACCGCCATGAACATCAAGGCTAACGTTTCTTGAGATGCCCTGTGTCCTCATTTAATCCTCATAGCAATCCTGCGAGGCACCTGCAGCTTCTCAGTTCCTTATTTGAAATGATTGGGGTCAGATGTATTTCAGAGTTTGGAATTTTTTGGGGTTGAGAAAGATAGTCAGGACAAATGCCACGTATTACACAAAATCCCGAGTGGGGTCTGGGAAAGCGTCTCAAAGGCAAGCCAGACAGTATTTCTGCAGGGAAATATATGAATAGTTAGTTACACTGAGTGACATAAGTAAAAGCCATAAATACTTTCATGTTATTTTGGGTCAGGTTTTGCCACCCAATGAGGTTGGGCATCATCTTATGAAAACATTTTAATTTTTTTCTGAGCTTTTTGGTAAATAGCAAATAAATACAGTTAATAACAGACAATAGATTTTTACTCTTGTCTTAGAAAAATGTAAGAATCTTGGTGCTCTCTCCGTCTGCCATAAAAGGATTGGAGCGCCCCTCCCTCTTATTGTCTCCCACGGATTACACTAGCTACTTGGGCAGCAATTGCTGCTCTGCTTTTTGTAGACAGCAGTTTTCTCAAAGCTGTGTGAGACATTTCATACAGAACGAATGGAACTTAACAAGGTGAAATATGAACACAAAGTTCAGACTGCGTGGATTGAGGCATTGCGTCTTGGCCTGCAGGCGTCTAGTTAGCGGTCCGTTAAGTGAACTGACCCGCGGAGGGGCCACCTGCGGCGGGAACCCGGCCTTCAGCCGTAGCGGGAGCGCGACACTCGGCATGCGGGAGTTAGTCCTAGCTCGCTGCGTCGGGCCGCGTCTGGAGTCTTGCCGTTATGTCGGGCTGGCCTGCTTTAAAGGAGTGTAGGTGGTGTGGAACGTTTTCCAGGCAGAGCCATCGGGGGTGGGAGGACTTGAAGCCATGTCAGGTAAGGCCCGGTGGGGTAACTGGGCAAGTTTGTGTGAGCGCTCTGCCAGGCCCTAGCCCTGTCAGACCATGGTACCTGCTCACGTGAGAACAGACACTCCTTGACTTACGATGGGGTTACATCAAGATAAACCCGGCGTAAGGTTTTGAAAATACTGTCAGTTGAAAATGCATGTAGAACGACACTGTCGAGCATCCGTTGTTCACCCTGGCGGTCACGAGGCTGACTGGGCGTGGCGGCCTCTCGTCACCGCCCAGCATCCCGAGAGAGGGTCATACCGCCCAGGAAAAGACCAAAATTCAGATTTGAAGTACGGTTTCTTATTAAAGCTTTCGTATTGCTTTCACACCATCGGCAAGGTCGAAAAATCCTAAGCTGAACCATCGTAAGTCGGGGACTGTCTGTAATTTTGGCCTGATAATCGGTTGACTGTTAGCTCTGTGCCCTTTCCTGAGCTGTGAAGCATTTGGGAGACAAAGATGAAAAGACACATGAGCGAAGGAGAAGGAAATGAGGAAACCGAAGGAAAAATAAAATTGTGGTAGCAGTTCAGAAGCCAAGCTATGAGTGAACTCTGGTCTCCCGCACCGGAGCGTATTGCTGTGGGAGCCACCCTGAGCCGCCCCCTGGGGCCTTGGAATCAATTCTTCCCCCTGCGGGTGGCTCTGCGTGACACTCTCCACTCGTGTGTTTCTTTGTTTCATAGATGGAGCGGCCTCGGGAGTAGCAATGCCTGCCCAAATACCAGAGCTGGCGATCATGGGCGAAGACCAGATCATTGACGAAGCCTTGGATAAGTTCGTTAATTGTCACGAGCAAACATACGAAGAATTTCTGAACACTTTCACTCATCTTTCAGGAGGTAAAATGGAAAGTAAACGCTCTGCAGCAGTAGAGATAAGGGGCTTTATTACGATTTTATGTCTTTGCTGCCTTTTCAGAAAGCCTATTTAATGAGCATTCACTCACTCTGTTCTTTCGATCGGGAAATTCTTATCAGGGCATTCACAGCGGATACATGTAAATACCACCGTTTTAATGCAACCAAGAGTTGTGTTACGGAGTCAGAACTATCGAATTTGAGAACCAAAAAAGACCTGAGAAATCAGTCAGCATAATCCCTTCATTTTATTTTTGAAGATACCCAAGTGTAAACAACGGAGGGTTTTAAAAGCATATTTAAAACTTTTAAGAACCATATAGCACAGCGTAGGCTGTGGGGCCACACTGCACACGTTCGTCCTGGTTTTACCGCTTTCTGGCTCTGTGGCCCTGGGGGGTGGTTATAGAGGAAGCGGGGATAGTCATAGAACCTCAGAGTTGGTGGAGGTGAACTGAGATAATCTGTGTCAGACTCTTAGCGTCGTGGCTGACATGCAAGTACTTGATGAAAGCTGGTGTTGTGATGATGATGATGGTGCTATGATTTCTATAGAATGGAAACACACTTTAGACCAGAAGTGATGAACTGACGCCTAAAGGCCAAACCCCGTGTCGTGTGTTTCATTTGCCTCCTACAGTATTGTTTTTTTTTTTGTTTTTTTGTTTTTTCAAATTGAGCCAACATTTAAACGTTGGGAATTTTTACATAAAAATCTTGATCTGTGTTTTTTCTGGTTACGTGAGAAGATCTGTTACCTGTTATTTCCCTTGTGGCAATGTCAGCTAGAGCTCAGGGGCCCTTGTCCTGCGAGCTCCCCAGTTTGTCATGTTCTCTGGCGCTCATACGATCTAAAAATGTGTGTCTACGCTTCCTGCTCCATTCGCTGAAGTGGCTCCTGCAGTCTTCTCAGCTGTAATCTCTAGAGTAAATTCTCTTTTAGATCGTCATTGGCTTGATCTCAACCTTGGTCCAGTCTGGGTCATTGATCCGCATTTGTGAGACCGTTGGTTCTCCACTCAGCTGCGCACTGGGGCCCCGGGAGGGACTTTTAGAGCACATCGATACGAGGGTCACTCTAAATCTTAGCTGGGGCCTGGGAATCGGTACTTTTGTAAAAGTTCCTCTGGTGGTTCTAACGTGCGCCCAAGAAATTACACTAACGTATGACAGGCACTGTAACGCAGAGGAACACGGACCTCTGTGGAAGCTCCTAGGAGGGCCGTTCAGCCTGTACTTGAGGGAAAGGAAACAAAGGCCACCCACCGGAGGGGATGCCGGGTGAGCTTGGGATAACCACTGAACCAGAGCTTACCTGGGTCCTGAAACATCCACTAAGAGTGCAGGGATGTTTGGTCAATAAGAGAGGAATCTAAAAGATGTTAAAATGCGTCCACTGAGGACGGTCCTTGGTGACGGCCCTTTTGGATCATGGTTCCGTTTGTTTTAGTACCGATGTAAATATATATGTATGTAATTTTAATAATAGGTTTAAATAATACGTTTTCAAGATGTGGATACACCCTTGCTTTCGTAAGGTTTAGTTATTTCTAACTGCTGAAAGCAAAAGGCAGGTTTTTAAAATTTCCCTGTACCCCGAGATTACCACACGGTCCTATTTGGGGAGCATTTGCTCCCACCTTTTAGAGTGGTAGTTGCCGCTCACATTGCCATCACACAGAAATTACAGATGTTATATATGTCAGAAGCCGGTGACTTAGAAGTTGACACTCAACCTTTTCAACTCGATTTTGTCACATATAGTACCCCCCCCCCCCAT